AACTCGATTTACTTTAATAATAATAAACACCAGGATGTACATTTTATTGATGATAAATGGTTCTCAAGCTTTGAACTCTTTGATGTAAACACTAACGGGTCCTCACTTCTTCTGTTTCTACCTTTAACCAAAAATATTAATTTATGAGACTTCATGAGCTGTGACTGTGTTTGTAGATCAAGACTGTGGGGAAGTAAAAATATTAGAAATACAATTTGGTTGAGGCTGCACAGTGCTGCAGTGGTTAACACTGTAGACTCTCTGCGAGGAGGTTCCTGGTTTGAATCCCGTCCTTCAGGAGTCTCTCTGTGAGGAGGTTCTGGTTTTAATCCCCGTCCTCAGAGTCTCTCTGTGAGGAGGTTCCTGGTTTGAATCCCCTCTGTCGGGAGTCTCTCTGTGAGGAGGTTCCTGTTGATCCCGTCCTTCAGGAGTCTCTCTGTGAGGAGGTTCCTGGTTTGAATCCCTGTCTGTCGGGAGTCTCTCTGTGAGGAGGTTCCTGGTTTGAATCCCCGTCTGTCGGGAGTCTCTCTGTGAGGAGGTTCCTGGTTTGAATCCCCGTCTGTCGGGAGTCTCTCTGTGAGGAGGTTCCTGGTTTGAATCCCCATCTGTCGGGAGTCTCTCTGTGAGGAGGTTCCTGGTTTGAATCCCCGTCTGTCGGAGTCTCTGTGAGGAGGTTCCTGGTTTGAATCCCCATCTCGGGAGTCTCTCTGTGAGGAGGTTCCTGGTTTGAATCCTCGTCCTTCAGGAGTCTCTCTGTGGAGTTCCTGGTTTGAATCCTCGTCCTTCAGGAGTCTCTCTGTGAGGAGGTTCCTGGTTTGAATCCCCGTCTTCAGTCTCTCTGTGAGGAGGTTCCTGGTTTAATCCCCGACCTTCAGGAGTCTCTCTGTGAGGAGGTTCCTGTTTGAATCCCGACCTTCAGGAGTCTCTCTGTGTGGAGGTTCTGTTTGATCCCCGTCCTTCATAAGTCTCTCTGTGAGGAGGTTCCTGGTTTGGATCCCCGTCCTTCAGGAGTCTCTCTGTGAGAGGTTCCTGGTTTGAATCCCCGTCCTTGGTTCCTGGTTTGAATCCCCGTCCTTCAGGAGTCTCTCTGTGTGGAGGTTCCTGGTTTGAATCCCGTCCTTCAGGAGTCTCTCTGTGAGGAGGTTCCTGGTTTGGATCCCGTCCTTCAGAGTCTCTCTGTGAGGAGGTTCCTGGTTTGAATCCCCGTCCTTGGTTCCTGGTTTGAATCCCCGTCCTTCAGGAGTCTCTCTGTGAGGAGGTTCCTGGTTTGAATCCCCGTCTTCAGGAGTCTCTCTGTGAGAGGTTCCTGGTTTGATCCCCGTCCTTCAGAGTCTCTCTGTGGGGAGGTTCCTGTTTGAATCCCGTCCTTCAGGAGTCTCTCTGTGAGGAGGTTCTGGTTTGACAGGAGCCTCTCTGTGAGGAGGTTCCTGGTTTGAATCCCGTCTTCAGGAGCCTCTCTGTGAGGAGGTTCCTGGTTTGGATCCCGTCCTTCAGGAGTCTCTGTGAGGAGGTTCCTGGTTTGAATCCCCGACCTTCAGGAGTCTCTCTGTGAGGAGGTTCCTGGTTTGAATCCCGTCTTCAGGAGTCTCTCTGTGTGGAGGTTCCTGGTTTGAATCCCCGTCCTTCAGGAGTCTCTCTGTGAGGACTCTGCATGTTCTCCTCGTTCATGTGTGGGTTCTCTCCTGGTTCTCCGTCTCCTCCCACAGTCAAAGACATGCTCGTTAGGTTAACTGCTGACTCTAATTGTCTGTAGGTGTGAATGTGAGTTTATCTGGTTATCTGTCTCTATATGTCAGCTCTGTGATTGGCTGGTGAACAGTCCAGGGTGTAACCCTCTTGATGTTTTTCAATCATCAAGAGACTTCCTGTTTCACCTGAGCAGGTAAACCCCTGACACAGTTTTCATGTTTGATATTCTGATTTAAATAAAGTTTTAATTAATCCTGAATCATTTTGATGATGTTTGAATGTCATGATGATGTCACAATGATGTCATGATGATGTCATGACTGACCTGCAGGTAGAGCAGCAGGTTGCTCTGTGGTCGTCCGTTCACGGTGCAGTGAAACGTACCGTCTGTCTGCGTTCACCTCCACCCTTTGATGTGCAGGAAGTGAGGCGTGCTCACTGAGATAAAACACACACACACACAGACACACAACAAACACAGAGGTCAGAGGTAACACACTGATGACATCATCACAGCTGGTATCTCCTTGGTAACAGATCGCCTTCCATAAAACATTTTCAGCAAAGCACCAAAACATATCATCCAATCAGAAAATGGATCCTGGAGGAGGCAGGCTGTGTGTGTGTGTGTGTGTGTGTGTGTGTGTGTGTGTGTGTGTGTGTGTGTTGTGTGTGTGTGTGTGTGTGTTTGTGTTCCTCAAAAAATAAAGCAGCATCAAAAATGCGAGTGTTCAGACGGGCAGGTAGATAAACAGACGGATGATCAAAGTCCATGCTAATCAATTTATACTTTAATGAGCTCCCCTGTCTACACACACACACACACACACACACACACACACACACACACACACTGACCTTGATTCTAGATGCCAGCTCAACTTTTAACATCGTTATTCAATTTAGCATCCAAACTCGTTAACCAATTACTGTCCTGTTCTACAAAGGGGCGGGGCCTTTTCTGCATATATTTGTGTGTGTGTGGTGTGTGGTGTGTGTGTGTGTGTGTGTGTGTGTGTGTGGTGTGTGTACTCACTGCATGTGTCCTGAAGTGTGATGCCTTGATGGCGAGGACTCCTCTCTGACGTTGCTGACCGCCTCGAACACGACCTGAGACACACAGAAGTGTGACATCAACAACACGAGACAACACACTGAGCTGCTTTATGCCTGCTGCAGACAGGTGGCGCTGTGGCACCATCGACATGACTTGGAAAGTGTAAATCCAGCCAAAAACTGGCATGGAAGAAATTTTTCAACATTAATTAAAAATAAACATAAAATATAACAAATATAAGATAATTATATTTATTATGTAAAAACTACGTCACCAGGGCGGAGCTGGGGGGCGGGGCTTAAATAAATAAAGTTACGGTATATCTCTCAGACTGACGAGAAAATAGTAAACACGATGACCAAACAGTGAAGTCAAACTCTCTCTGTGTTTGTTGTACTCAGCTCTGTGGTCACACTGAAGGGGCGGAGCTTCATTTGTTTCACTCAGAGGCTCAAACATGATTCAGACAAGAACCCTCCCTCTCTGACCAATGTGTGAAGAGTGTGTGTGTGTGTGTGTGTGTGTGTGTGGTGTGTGTGTGTGTGTGTGTGTGTCTATGTCTGTGTGTGTGTGTGTGTGTGTGTGTTTAACATTCCACAGCTTATCGCTACGGAAACCGGCGGCATGCACTTCCTGTCTGCACAAGAACAGGAAATCCTCCTCCCTCCATATGCGGGTCCACTCCTCTCCTCTGACTCTCTGACTCCTCTTCCTTCATTCTTCTTCTCTGCTTCCTGCTCCTCCTGCACCCTCCTCGTCTCACCGCTCGCTCGCGCCGCTGATGTGACTCTGTCCTCCTCTCCTTCATCCTCTCCTTCTCTCCTCTCCTTCATCTTCTCCTTCGTCCTCTCCTTCTATCCTCTCCATCCCTCTCCTTCATCCTCTCCTTCATCTTCTCCTTCGTCCTCTCCTTCTATCCTCTCTTCATCCTCTCCTTCTCTCCTCTCCTTCATCTTCTCCTTCGTCCTCTCCTTTCTATCCTCTCCTTCATCCTCTCCTTCTCTCCTCTCCTTCATCTTCTCCTTCGTCCTCTCCTTCTCTCCACTCCTTCATCCTCTCCTTCTCTCCACTCTTCATCCTCTCCTTCATCCTCTCCTTCATCCTCTCCTTCTATCCTCTCCTTCATCTCTCCTTCATCCTCTCCTTCTCTTTTCTCCTTCATCCTCTCCTTCATCTCTCCTTCATCCTCTCCTTCTATCCTCTCCTTCATCCTCTCCTTCATCCTCTCCTTCTCTCCTCTCCTTCATCCTCTCCTTCTCTCCTCTCCTTCATCTTCTCCTTCATCCTCTCCTTCTCTCCACTCCTTCATCCTCTCCTTCATCCTCTCCTTCATCCTCTCCTTCTATCCTCTCCTTCATCCTCTCCTTCATCCTCTCCTTCTCTTTTCTCCTTCATCCTCTCCTTCGCTCCTCTCCTTCATCCTCTCCTTCATCCTCTCCATCTCCTCTCTTCTTCATCCTCTCCTTCTCTCTCTCCTTCATCTCTCTTCTCGCTTCTCCTTCATCCTCTTTCTTCTCTCCTCTCCTTCTCTCCTCTCCTTCTCACCTCTCTTCATCCTCTCCTTTATCCTCTCCTTCTCACCTCTCCTTCATCCTCTCCTTCTCTCCACTCCTTCATCCTCTCCTTCATCCTCTCCTTCATCCTCTCTTCATCCTCCCTTCTATCCTCTCCTTCATCCTCTCCTTCTCTCCACTCTTCATCCTCTCCTTCTCTCTCTCCTTCATCTTCCTTCTCTCTCTGTCCTTCATCCTGTCCTTCTCTCCTCTCCTTCTCTCCTCAGGACAATAGCCTCTGTACACGGTGCACACACAATAACCACAAGGCCACAGCTGCCCCCGACTCTGAATATAGTTAAATGAACATTAGGATCATTAATGAGGGCTCAGTTGAAGGTTTTCTTGAAGTTTGTGAAGCAGAAACAGAGCAGAGTGAGAGTCCTCATGTTTGACACCATAAAGGATCTTGGTGGTGAGACACTCTGTAACCTCAGATTTATTCTTCTTTTAAAGTGAATCTGCTGGATCTTCATGAAAGTGTGTGAAAGTCATGTTTCTGTTGTTCAGTGGGTTCAGATTATTTCAGCTGTTGAAGGTGTTTCAGTGACTGTGTTTGCCCTGCTCTTTGTCTGTCAGGTACGCCTGAAAAAAAACCTTTTTGGAATCAGAAGGTTCCCATGGAGAGAGAAAATCACTTCCTGCTGCTGCTGAATGTGTGTGTGTCAGTGTGTGTGTGTGTGTGTGTGTGTGTGTGTGTGTGTGTGTGTGTGTGTGTGTGTGTGTGTGTGTAGTTGTTGACCAATTAGCTTCAGCCCTCATACGGTTTGGAGATGACAGAGCTTTGAAAGCCACATAAAGGAGCTTTCAATGTGGATCAACCACATCCAGTGACTGTGTGTGTGTGTGTATGTGTGTGTGTGTGTGTGTGTGTGTGTGTGTGTGTGTGTCTGTGTGTCTGTGTGTCTGTGTGTGTGTGTGTGTGTGTGTGTTACCTGGTAGTGGTTAGGCCAGAAGGTTGATACAGCAAGCTCCACCCCCTTCCAGATGTGGTAGGCGGGGCCTGACGAGTTAAAGACAGGAATTCCCAGAGGACTGTTGTTCTCTGAAAGAAATACAAGCACTGTGAATACCTGAGAGCTCCACCCACACACCTGAGAGCTCCACCCACACACCTGAGAGCTCCACCCACACACCTGAGAGCTCCACCCACACACTTGAGAGCTCCACCAACACACTTGAGAGCTCCACCCACACACTTGAGAGCTCCACCCACACACGAGTGCTCCACCCACACACCTGAGTGCTCCACCCACACACTTGAGAGCTCCACCCACACACTTGAGAGCTCCACCAACACCTGAGAGCTCCACCCACACCTGAGAGCTCCACCCACACACTTGAGAGCTCCACCCACACACTTGAGAGCTCCACAACACACTGAGAGCTCCACCCACACACATGAGAGCTCACCCACACACAAGAGCTCCACCCACACACGAGAGCTCCACCTACACACCTGAGTGCTCCACCCACACACAAGAGAGCTCCACCCACACACCTGAGAGCTCCACCCACACACATGGGAGCTCCACCCACACACATGAGAGCTCCACCCCACACCTGAGAGCTCCACCCACACACTTGAGAGCTCCACCAACACACCTGAGTGCTCCACCCACACACCTGAGAGCTCCACCTACACACAAGAGTTCCACACACACCTGAGAGCTCCACCCACACACCTGAGAGCTCCACCCACACACAAGAGTTCCACCCACACACTGAGAGCTCCACCACACACCTGAGAGCTCCACCCACACACATGAGAGCTCCACCCACACACCTGAGAGCTCCACCCACACACCTGAGAGCTCCACCCACACACATGAGAGCTCCACCCACACACAAGAGCTCCACCCACACACATGAGAGCTCCACCCACACACGAGAGCTCCACCCACACACCTGAATGCTCCACCCACACACAAGAGAGCTCCACCACACGAGAGCTCCACCCACACACTGAGTGCTCCACCCACACACCTGAGAGCTCCACCCACACACACGAGAGCTCCACCCACACACCTGAGAGCTCCACCCACACACCTGGGAGCCCCACACACATTTTTGCGGTAGTTTGTTTTACTTGCGTAGCATTTGTTGTTTATGTGTACCTCTGATGTAGACGTTGAGTGTGGCGGGCGCTGCCCCATCTCGCCCCCCCGCCCTGTAGAACAGGAAGTTGAGGCAGTGTGTGTCGTTCTCTCTAAGAGGGGGCAGCGTCATCTGTGCACGCTCACCGGCGTAACGACCCGACGTGTTCACAAACAGGAAGGATGACCCTGCACACAGGAAGTGACACCTCATTAACAAACAGTCTACAAGTATGTCAAGGTTTCAAAATAAAAGCATGTGTTAATTACGTTAGACATTATGAATAACTCTGTTTGAAATAACGGGCAGAACATTTATTATGTATTTAATAATCTTCTTCGTCACTGATCACACACAGGATCCAATACTTCAAAATAAAAGAGCATGTTAGATGTACGGATATAATTCGACATGAAGAAGATTCAGTGAACACAAATAAAACATGTGAGAAAAACAGAAGCAACTTAATTTAGTCAACTTAAAAGTACAAAAAAGATCACATGTTAAAATGTCTAACTTTACAGCTGCAGTTCCTCCAGTGTCCACTAGAGTCTGTCTCCTGCAGTGAGTCAGTCTCCATAGAGCCCCATGTTAAATGTCTAACTTTACAGCTGCAGTTCCTCCAGTGTCCACTAGAGTCTGTCTCCTGCAGTGAGTCAGTCCTCATAGAGCTCTATGTTAAAATGTCTAACTTTACAGCTGCAGTTCCTACAGTGTCCACTAGAGTCTGTCTCCTGCAGTGAGTCAGTCCTCATAGAGCTCTATGTTAAAATGTCTAACTTTACAGCTGCAGTTCCTCCAGTGTCCACTAGAGTCTGTCTCCTGCAGTGAGTCAGTCCCCATAGAGCTCCATGTTAAAGTAAAAATCTTTACATCCTGATACAAACACAGTTTGGGTCTAAGCAGTTTACATGTATAGTTATTTATAGATTTGCATCATTAGGGGCGTGGTATCTTTGACTGACAGGTAGGTGTGTTGAAGTCAACATTTCCAAAATGGCGACCTCTATTGCTGGGTTTCAACACATCTCTTCAGGGACCAAGGATGATATCACTGAGTCTCCACCCATTTTTAAGACAGACTTTTAATTATAAGAATCATGTGATGTCAGAATCCGACTCGAGAGCCTGAGGGGGAGGAGGGCCTGGTCCAGAATCATCTATAGAATGAGTGTGTGTGTGTGCATGTGTCTGTACATGTGTGTGTGTGTGTGTGTGTGTGTGTGTCTGTGTGTCACAGTGTGTGTGTGTGTGTGTGTGTGTGTGTCACAGTGTGTGTGTGTGTGAGGACAAAACTGTCACTTTGTCAAAAGTGAAAATCTCTAATTGGAAGACTTCAGAATAAAAATCTTTTTCACTTTAAAGCTTTAAAACTCAAAACCCATCCTCTGTGTGTGTGTGTGTGTGTGTGTGTGTGTGTGTGTGTGAAGACAGCAGCTGTCAATCATCTGAGTGTCTCTGGATTCACTTTTCCTTTCCGTCTTTGTTTCTCTAAAGTTTCTATGAAATTCAAATGCCTCGCTTGTTTTTTTTCTTTGTGTGTGCGTGTGTATGTGTGTGTGTGTATGTGTGTGCATGTGTCATTGGGTTGAAGGGCGTTTCCATGGTGACAGCAGAAGAGCAGCAGCAGTGATTGGCTGCTTGTTCTCTGAATGATGACTTTATTTCAAAGAGCCGTCATTTTAAAAAGAGATCATTCTGAATATTTGAAGAGTTTAGTGATAATAAACATAAACATACATAGAACTACACACACAGACACACACACACACCCACACACACCCACACACACACACACACACACACACACACTGCACACACACACACAGACACACACACACACACACACACACACACACACACACACTGCACACACACACACACACCCACACACACCCACACACACACAGACACACAGACACACACACACACAGACACACACAGACACACACACTCACACTCAGAGGTCCAGCTGAATTGTTGCTCTGACTTAGTGACTCGTTAGCAGTTTGTTACTGCAGTGCTGAGCTCACAGTCTGATAACAAACTTCCTGCTTTGTTTCTCTCATATCAATGTTTCATCACAGGTTCTATGTTCTTATGACCTCATCTTCATATGTTCACATGACCTCATCTTCATATGTTTTTATGACCTCATGTTTATATGTGCTTATGACATCATCTTCATATGTTCTTATGACCTCATTTTCATATGTTCTTATGACCTCATCTTCATATGTTCACATGACCTCATCTTCATATGTTCTTATGACCTCATTTTCATATGTTCTTATGACCTCATCTTCATATGTTCACATGACATCATCTTCATATGTTCTTATGACCTCATTTTCATATGTTCTTATGACCTCATCTTCATATGTTCTTATGACATCATCTTCATATGTTCTTATGACCTCATCTTCATATGTTACATGACCTCATCTTCATATGTTCTTATGACCTCATTTTCATATGTTCTTATGACATCATCTTCATATGTTCTTATGACCTCATCTTCATATGTTCTTATGACCTCATTTTTATATGTTCTTATGACCTCATTTTCATATGTTCTTATGACCTCATCTTCATATGTTCTTATGACATCATCTTCATATGTTCTTATGACCTCATCTTCATATGTTCACATGACCTCATCTTCATATGTTCTTATGACCTCATTTTCATATGTTCTCATGACCTCATCTTCATATGTTCTTATGACCTCATCTTCATATGTTCTTATGACATCATCTTCATATGTTCTCATGACCTCATCTTCATATGTTCTTATGACCTCATCTTCATATGTTCTCATGACCTCATCTTCATATGTTCTTATGACCTCATCTTCATATGTTCTCATGACCTCATCTTCATATGTTCTCATGACCTCATCTTCATATGTTCTTATGACATCATCTTCATATGTTCTTATGACCTCATCTTCATATGTTCACATGACCTCATCTTCATATGTTCTCATGACATCATCTTCATATGTTCTTATGACCTCATCTTCATATGTTCTTATGACCTCATCTTCATATGTTCTCATGACCTCATCTTCATATGTTCTTATGACCTCATCTTCATATGTTCTTATGACCTCATCTTCATATGTTCTCATGACCTCATCTTCATATGTTCTTATGACCTCATCTTCATATGTTCTCATGACCTCATCTTCATATGTTCTCATGACCTCATCTTCATATGTTCTTATGACATCATCTTCATATGTTCTTATGACCTCATCTTCATATGTTCTCATGACCTCATCTTCATATGTTCTTATGACATCATGTTTATATGTGCTTATGACCTCATGTTCATATGTTCACACACACACACACACACACACACACACACACACACACACACTGCACACACACACTGCGCACACACACTGCGCACACACACACACACACACACACACACACACACACACACACACACACACACACTGGTTGGCAGGATGAGGAGTTTGAAGGTCAGTGTGACGGAGGAGCTGCAGGACTCATAACAGATCTGATCATTTTCAAAGTGTTGAAGGAGTTAAATGTAAATATTTAACCTGCCCATTAGTGTCATGGAGGCGTGGTTATGGTAATATCTCAGGCTGTGGGGGAGGGGCCTGACACCGAGTGGGCGGAGCTTGAAGCCCTGATGATTACATGGATCTCTGACAGAAACAGAATCGACCTTCAGATGTGAAACAGATTCTTCTTCACTTGTCAGTTTATTCTGTTTGTTTGATTTCAGGAGCTGATCGATACTCACCGAGACGATCGATTAGAAAAACAAGAGTTTAATCATGGAGGAAGGGAGGAGGGGGAGGAGGGGGAGGAAGGGGGAGGAGGGGAAGAGGAGGAGGAGGAGGAAGGGAGGAGGGGGGAGGAGGGGGAAGAGGAGGAGGGGGGAGGAGGGGGGAAGGGGAAGAGGGGGAAGAGGAGGAGAGGAGGAAGGGAGGAGGGGGGAGGAGGGGGATAGGGAGGGAGGAGGAGAGGAGGAGATGAGGAGGAGGAGAGGAGGAGGAAGAGGAGGAGAGGAGGAGGAGGAGAGGAGAAAGAGGAGGAGGAAGAGGAAGGGAGGAGGGGGGAGGAGGG